AAATGAAACAAAATTGAAGACCCAAATATGAGTACATGCAATTTCAGCCACCTGATATTTGACAAAGGGGCCAAGAACATTCACTGGAGGAAAGACAGCATGTTCAGCAAATGGTGCTGGCAAAACAGGATCTCTACCTATAGAAGAATGAAACTAAACTCCTATCTTTCACCTTGCATAAAATTTGACTCCAAATGGATCAAAAACCTCAATGTGAAGCCTGAAACTCTGAAACTGTTAGAAGAAAACATTGGCAATAACCTACAAGATATAGGTGTAGGAAAGGATTTTCTAAACTGGACATCAATTGCTCAGGAAACAAGGTCAAGAATCAACAAACAGGACCTCCTCAAACTACAAAGCTCTGCACATCAAAAGAAACAACCAAGGAAGTGAAGAGAAAACCCACAGAGTGGGAGAAAATCTTCACCAGCAAAACAACTGCCAGAGGTTTAACATCCAGTATATGTAATGAACTCAAAAAACAAAGAATCAAGAAAGGAAGGAACCCAATTATAAGATGAGCTAAGGAGCTGAACAGAGAGTTTTCAAAAGAAGAATTAAAGATGGCTAAGAAGCATCTTAAAGGGTGTTCAACATCGGTAGCAACTAGGGAAATGCAAATTAAAACCACTTTAAGATTTCATCTTACCCCGGTCAGACTGGCTAAGGTCAAGAGAATAAATGATACCAAATATTGGAGAGGATGTGGGGAAAGGGGAACACTCATCCACTGCTGGCAGGATTGCAAATTTGTTAAACCCTATGGAAAGCAGTGTGGAGAACTCTTAAAAAACTACAAATGAACCTACCATTTGACCCAGTTATACCACTCCTTGGCATATAGCCAAAGAACTCATCCTACTGCAGAGACACTTGTACATCCATGTTTGTTGCTGCTCTTTTCACAACAGCTAAGAGATGGAAGCAACCTAAGTGTCCCTCAGTTGACGAGTGGGTAATGAAAATGGTTTATTTATATGATGGAGCTTTACTCAGCAGTATAGAAAGATGAAATCATGAAATTTTCAGGTAAATGGATGGAACTAGAAACTATTATACTAAGTCAAGTAACACAGACTCAGCAAGAAAAAAATCAAATATGTTCTCCCTTGTATGTGGACCCTAGCACCAAATCCTTATAAGTGAGTGTATATCCAGACATAGCTATAGGAACCAGGATAATGAAATGGAACCAGGGAGGTAAAGGAAAAGAAAGAATCTGAAAGAGAAGAACAGTTAGGAAAGAGGTGTTAATAAGGGAAATATGGATAAAAATGGGGTTATTTTAAGAGGAGACGGGAGGGAGAATTATACAAGGATCCTTGGGGATAAAGAGAAAGAAGGAGCTCAAGAGAGGTGGGACCATAGGAGAAGGGTATTATTAAGGGAGAAATGGAAAAAATGAGGGCACTTTAAATAGGGAAACCATGGTGGAAGGGTTAGACAATGTGAGAGATATACAATGTCTACCTAGCTGTACAAAACCAGAAGGAACCATATTAGGCCAACAACCTACTGAAAAATTATACATACAACCAGATCAAAGAATGTAATATATGCCTAGGCAAGGTTTATCTGAGAACCTTTGGTCTTTGCCCAAGCTTTATCTATATAGCACATGGTAATTAAAAGTACCAGTCTGGTGGAACTAACCCTCTTGGGGGTTTAACAGCCATAGTTTGAGACCTATACTAATTTGGCCAGAGGGACTTAAAGGACTGATTTTGCTCCTTGCCCTCCAAGGTTGACTAAATTCCAGGGGACTATGGAGCATCTCTCAAAATGTCCTGTAACTGTGGTGAATCACCTGTCCTCTTGATCAAGGAGGCCATGGAGACCCCACCAGATGGACTTGAACCAGTGTCTAGTCTACAAAGAGGAGGGTCAACACAGAGGAAACATTTCCTCCATGCTTCCAAGCGAAGCCAGCCATGGTCAAGCAGGACCTTTGACTTATCTTCACATACATGGAACTGGTAGAGAAAAGGAGCCAGGGGCTCCTCCTAAGTCCATGTGACCCCTGAGGAACAGATCCTCAAACAACCTTAAGAATAAAAATAAATGGGTTTATCTGGGCCAACTGCATGGTCTGAAACACCCAAAAGGAAAGTATAACCAAAGTTTAAAGGGATTAATGGAATTCTTTAAGAGTCTATGTGTATAGCTAAAGGCTATATAATAAGAAACAATGTCAGACAGGAGATATCTTCCTTTGAGTTGTTGGCCAGGGTGGTCCAAGAGACTCCCAGACAGTAACCCAGCATAGAACTGGGAAAATGAACAGCAGGCCCCAATCTTATCTAAAGGAATATTGTCAACAGATTGCTGCTAGATAAGGAAGAGCTGATCTTCCTAAAACAAAGAACTATGGATAAGCACAGGGGAAAGGCTGGGGGCACTGACAACACAGTGGACAGTAACAGGGATGACAGAGTATATAGGCTCCAGTGGTGATGGGAGGGTATCATTTGGGATGTGGGTAAATAGATGAATAAGATTTTTGGGATGTTTGGTATGAAATAGACACATACACACAAAAATCAATAAATTTAAAAAAGGAGTTATATTTGAGGAAGAAGCATAAAAATTTGCTTCATGTTAATTAGTAGATGTGAAAAACATTACCATTGAAATCTACCTGATGACTTTATATCTATACTCAAGTACCAAGGAGCTCAGAAAGTAACCGACTTTGACTAGTAATAATCAGATACATAGAGATTAGAGACACATGAGCAAACATCTAAGTGTTAGTTGCATTAAAATGATTTTTTCTGTATGAAATGGCATAATTTAATAATGAGATCTTTTTTAAAGGTTAAAACTTCATCCAATTTTATGTCTTATGGGGTTTATACTGAGTACAATATTGTATAACTGTATAAATTCAACTGTAAATCTAAATATTTACAGCCAGTTTTGAGAGATGCATCTTAGCTCTGGAAATTGTTATTGAATATGTGAATGCTATTGTAATGAAATGCTTCTTCTAATTATGTAGTTATTAAATAAATAATAAAAAATGTATTTTATTGAGATAAAACTGCCCAAACTGCACAGCATTGAATCTGTAATCTCAGCCACTACATTTTACTGAATCTTTGCTATTCTAACATCTTAGAGGGACAAAGAGGCCTCCTAGGATCCCTTCATTTGTATATTTGACCTCCAATATCATATTAAAGTGCATTTAAAACAAGGTGTGGAAACCTCCCCTAACTGTTTCCTCACTTACTCTTGGGCTCACAGATTTTAACTTCTCAGTATACGTGGGGAATCCATGTCCCATATCATTAACGTTCTTCTCAGAAGTCTGAGAACCACAGAGCTCAGTCATGCTGAGTTCAGTGGTTGCCACGATCAGGTCTTAAGCTGAGTTTTGTCTTGTGACCTTGGGCCAGTTACTTCTCTTTAGTCTTAGTTTGCTCATCTGGAAGATGGCTGTCATAATCCCTGCATTGACGGCTGAAGGAATTAAATGTCATCATTGCTCTAAATCACTTAGCCATAGCCTGACACACAGGAGTTTAAGCAGATCTCTCATTTAAATCAGGTTGTCAAGGGAAAGCTTCTAGAACTGCCTGGTGGCACTGAAGAATGAGGGGAGGGGCAATATCAGGTGTATAACTGTCAGAAAAGGGAAAAACTTGGATTTGGTTGGAGGTAAAGTCACTTTTTTAAAAATGGAACTTGTTCCTAAATAAAGTTTGATGTGTTCCTGAGGCATTATTAGTTGGCACTGTTATTTTCTTCTCATTAGCTTATCCCATTGCATCAAATCACTACACTGGCAGTCAATATAAAAATATTCCTTTGGAGCTGGAGAGATGGCTCAGCAGTTAAGAGCAACTCTGCTCTTGCAGAGGACCTGGGTTCGATTCCCAGCATCTACATGGCAGTTTACAATCTTCAGCAACTCCAGTTCCAGGGAATCCAATGCCTCTTCTGACTTCTTTGGACATTGTATGACATGGGTGCACTTAAATACATGTAATCACTACACAGATACACATAAAATAAAATAATGTTTTAACTATATATCCTGTTTTACCTATTTATTTATTTTTATTTTATCTGCATGAGTATTTTCCCTGCAGGGCAGTAGGTGCATCCATGGCATGAAATGCCCACACGACCCAAAAGAAGGCGTTGGATCCCTTGGACCTGGAGTTATGGACAGTTCTTAGCCACTATTTGGGTCCCAGGAACCAAACCCCAGTTCTCTGCAACAGCACCCAATGCTCTTAACTTCAGAGCATCTCTCCAGCCCTCAATTTATTTCTTGTAACAATATATCACGTGCTATAACTGGGATAACTAATCCAAACTCCTCACATTCTAAATTATGACTCATACTCATTCATGTCTGTGCTCCACTTTTCCGATAACCAGCTACACAGCAAGAGCCATGTTTTCCGGGTCTGACGGGGCTTACAACAGCCCCAGCTTTGTCTCTAGCTCTTCTGCAAGTTGATCTGCTTGAGATACTACTATATAGGTCTTGCAAGGCTGTGAGCCATTAAATGATTAGTCCTTTGTATCTCATTTGAACCAGTTAACCCAAGTTTTCATCCTTCTTAGTGGAGAAGGATGAAGGATACCGTTTGAGCAAAGGCAGAGGTGCAAATGTTTCAGAGAGGTCCAGTGACAGCCCAGTTGATCTGTTCCCTAGAATAGCTGCTTCTCAAATGCACTAGTCTGCATGGGGTTTCATATACTGCGGTCGTATTATGTTCCCATTTTCCAATACTAGAAAATGTACAGGGGGCTGGAGAGATGGCTCAGTGATTAAGAACACTGGCTGCTCTTCTAGAGGATGTGAGTTTGGTTCCCATCACCCACAAGAGGGCTAACAACCGTAGGTAACTCTAATTCCAGGGGATCTGACACCCTCTTCTGGCCTCCATGGGCAATGCATGACACAGGTGCACTTACATACATGCAGGCAAGACACACAGATAAAGTTTAAAAAAAATAATAAATATTTTAAAAAGAAAATGTAGAGTACCCACTTGTCCTCCTTTACCTGAGACTCCTCAGTATTGCCACTAAAATCTTGTGTTCTGAGGAAACCGTTCCATCTGGGGCAGAATAGGACAGTGGGCCTCTGCTAAATGGGAACTCTTTTAACCCCTAGTTTCTCAAACAGCAGTTCACAGCAGCAACACTGCTGTCTCTTTGAAGCTTGTTGGTCCTGCAGAATGTCACATTCAAACCCTAGACATATGGAGTTTGAAACTGCATTTTAACAGGCTCCAAGTTATTTATAGGCACATGATGTGAAATGTTTCAGGGAAAGCCTGCTTCAGTGGATTATACTGGAAACTTCAGAATGGTTCCGGTAAGGTAGGCTAGTTTTCCCTTTGTGTGTTCCTTTACCGGTTTTGTCCTCACATCCTTGACCTCGCAAATCTCATTTAGCTGTCCTTGCCTCCTGCTGCAATCTAAAGCTACCCCCCACCCCCATGGTGTCCTCTTCAGGGAGGGATTCTCTTCTTGGTCTTTCTGCCCTGACCTGCCTTTTCTCTGGATCTTCTGCTAGAGTCTGAGTTAATGTAATTAGCTAGTACAAGTGACAGTGTTTGTGGTGCCACCTCCTTCAGGTCATAGTTTCATTTCTAACAGGGACCCAAGGGAAGGGACGTGCCAACAACTACAAGAATGCCTACAATGACTAGAAGTTCAGGAATCAGTACAGGTCTGAATTTTGGACAAGTGAACTTCATACCCCCAGATCACATCACTATATAATTATTTGCTCAACCACAAGTATAGGATACACAGAAAAGGTATAAGACAGTTCTATGTGACTCTGGCTTTACACCTCAGCTTTAGGTGTGGTCTGGTGGCCACGAGAAAGGAGGCAGAGCCAATGGCAGAAGCAAGGAAAAACAGTGAATTTACCAGCAGCCATCTGCTGAAATGCTAGGTTATCAAGATTAATCATTATGTTTTACTGCGTATGAGGCTTTATTTCCCTAAAGCCTCAATGGCCCACAAAGAAAATGTATTTGAATTTTAAGGTGAGGGAATGGCCTGGGACTGTAATTTCTCAGCAAGAACTCTGGCTCCATGCGTGTCCTCCAGGACTGCGGCCTGTGATGAGGGCAGGATGAAAAGCATTTGCCCTTCATAGCAGGGCTGTAAACAGGGCATTGATCCCCTCTTCTTCCCTATGGCAGGCTTGACTTAAGCATCCAGTTCTTTAGCACTGAACTTGATAAGAATGACTGTTAGTGAGAGCTTCAGTAAGTAATGAGTAAATTTGTTTTGAAAATAGTAGAACCTGCTAGTCCAGTAGACACAGATAGTCAAGTACTGCATGGACAGGACAGGCCACGTGGCTCTTCTATCCTCCCTTCAGGGTTTCAAAGGCCTGAATTGTGGGCTCAGATGCAGTTCACAGCACAGCTACATCAGATCAAAGCTGTGCTCCTCTGATGCAGAGGGCATTCAGGTCATGCCAGGGCCTGCGATGGTTACTGTCAATTTGGATTTTCAAAATACAAGAAATGCAAATTAATAAATATTTCCATTTTGAGAAATCAGTTATGATTTTCTGTAAAACTGGAGACTCACCCTTCAGAAATGAAGTGAGGTACATTCATCTTTGGTCAAATTGCCATGTACATCAATAGGAATGTGTCCATAGGGACATTAAGAATCAGTAAATCAGAAATTCCACCAACCTCTGATTGACAGCGTCACTGACTTCAGGTGTTCCACTCTGTAAGGCCCTCTGTCACTCCTTTGAACAACACAGGTATAAGTGCCCCCGTCCGACAGGTGCAGGCCCAGGATCACAAGAGAGAGGTTGTTAGCAATGTCAGAGAAAGTCCGGTTCTTATACTCCGGCCACACTTTCACCATCCCAGATATGATAGCCAGCACCATTGTGCCGTCTTTTTGCCAGTAGACACGAGCTCTGTCCAGTTCATCAAGAGAAATGTTGTAACCACAGGACAGTGATGCCATTTCTCTCACTGACTTGGACACTTGGCCAAGACCTAAGGAAGGGCAAACAGAACAGGATTTTATCTTCAGTGAACACAGATTCCTGCATGAGCAGGCTGCATCCAAACTCAGCATGTTCTGTCTAATGACTAACCATGACGAGTGAATCTATTGGGATTTTTTTGGGGTTCAACACTTTTTTATAATTTTTTAAATTAGTGTATATTAATTGTGCAAAATAGTGGAGTCATTTATTAATTTTTATTGTGGTTTTAAAAAAACTCCACATAGCTACATGTATGATGCATACCAATAATCTCTGCACTTGGGATGGTGATGTCGGAGCATAGCAAGATTGAGGTCAACTTGTGCTACATAGGGAGACCCTGTCTCAAATTACCAAAGACTGGGCATGTAGTTGGGTGGTAGAGCACTTGCCTGTCATGTGAAAGGCCCTGGGTTTGACCGTCAGCATTGAAAATATACATAAAATTTACTATACTGACCTTTGAAAAATCTACAGTGGGGTTAAGTACATTCACATTTGTATAAGATAAAGCTCTAGAACTGTTCATTTTGTGACATGAATCTCTGTACCATTAAACAACAAATTCCCTTTTCCTTTCCTCTCCTTGGAAACCACCATTCTACTCTTTGCTTCTGTGAATTTGACTGCTTTAGATAGTTTGTCTCTTGTGATTGGCCTATTTCACTTAATGTCTTCAATTTTGTTCATCTTGTGTCATATGATAAGATTTCTTTCCATTTTAAGGAATTTCAATGACCTGACAATAATGAGCATGAATACTATTCACAAACATATATCTGAGATACACACACACACACACACACACACACACACACAAATAAGTAAATAAATGTAATTTAAAAAGAAAAAAAGAGATTCCTAGCAGACTATAGCCTTAGCACTTGAGAGGCAGAAGCAAGAGGATCAAAATTCAAGGCCATCCTTTGCTAATCAGAGAGTTCAAGGTCAGCTTTCACTACAAAGACTCTGTCTCTAAGCAAACACAAAATTTTAAATGGTAACACAAAAAAGTTGCTGGCCATGGTGGAGCATGCCTATAATTCCAGCACTTGGGAGGGAGAGGCAATAGATCTCTGGGTTCAAGGCCATCCTGGTCTAATAGTGAATTCTAGGCCAGCCAAGAATGTGAGACCCTGTCTTAATAAACAAACAAACAAACAAACAAACAAACAAACAAATGTGTACTTTCTGGGCTTGGACTGACCTCATGGTTTGGTTTTTTTTTCTGTTTTTTTGTTTTGTTTTGTTTTTTGTTTTTTTCGGTCTTTTTGAGACAGGGTCTCCCTGTAGCCCCAGCTGTTCTGGAACTCATTATGTAGACCAGGCTGGCCTTGAACTCACAGAAATCCACCTGCCTTGTGTTTTTAGGCTGGAATGACTTGCTGCTTCACAGGACAAGGCCATGGGTTACAACTCTGGAATGTGTCTGCCCTGTTCAGCTACCTATATGGACCCTCTATCCTGTCTTCCTTTTGGCTGTCTGTAATCCATATATGCAGTTATCCCACAGCTTTCATTTGCTAAGCAGGTTCCATTTTAAAAATCTGGCTCATGTCCCCATCAGTGTATCCCAGATACCAACATTTCAGTGTCTAAAGTCCAACTCATTAGCTCCTAATAGCTATCGACACAATGAAATTCCCTATCAGACTAGACTTCTGCGTTTGGGTTCAGAGACAGTGTACCTCTAAGGCCCAAGTTCTCAGGATGAGCCATGCCTGCCCAGTGCCATCATCTGCATTTTCTTTGCCTTGTGCTCCCAGAGCCACAAGGTATGACTTGGATTCTAGCCCCAGCTCAGCAGCTTGCTGATTAATCTGTTTCCTGATCTGTGAAATGGTTTTGGTTCCTGCCCATTCAGGAGCACTACAAAATTTGATTCCATTCAATGATCTAAACAGGGGTGACTCAGGGACATAGCAGGTCTTCTGTAGGAGTATATTCTTTCCTTCCGCCTGCCCCAAATCCTACGCTCTGTTCCTTTAATCTCACTCAGGAGCCATATCAGCTGTAAAGGACTGGTATTGCTTAGACCTGTTAGACACCATAATATGAAATATCTCACTTATCTGGGTCCCAAATAAATAATGGGTTAACCCCTCTCCAGAACTGTTTGCTCCCACCTCATAGAAAGCAATGTTTCCAACTGATTTTGACATCTGATGATATTAGCAAGAGAGAAATCATAACCAAAAGCAAAACTGTCTAATTCCAATGATGGTTCCGAAGGAGATCTGTGCAGTCACATAAAGAGAAGCGTGAATGTCTCCCCTAACGGTCACGGCACCTCATCAATGGGCTGTTCTCCCTTCCTGTCTGAGTCCTCTGTTGGTGCTGAGGAAGAACCATATTGAAAAGAGGAATCAAAACTCTCTCACACTGTTTGGAAATTCCCACAGGAACTGTCCCACTCTCTTGCAAGCAATGAGAAAATGGAAGAAATGCCTCGGAAGGCTTCTGTCTTACAGTGACTGTGAAGGGAAGTCAGGTCTCCGAAGCTCATTGGATCTCTGAGTTTGTTGTGTATGCCATTTTGCAAGTGGGCATTGCAACACCACAGACAACGCAGGCATGAGAGTTTAAAGGGCACTGTGCCTCACTCTCCTCACAGTGCCTGGGATGTGAGAAAAGCCAGCATCTTCTTCAGAGCTCCACTTGGCCCACTTTACTCCACTTTACTCAGGCCCGAGTTCTCTCCTCGGGGTGGCTCTGATTCTCCCAAACAGCTCCTTCTGACTCCATCGGTCTGCTTGCTCTGTTGCTCCTTAGGCTCCTACCCTGAGTTGTCTTCAGTCTTCTTTTGTTTGTTTTAGTCTTGGGTTTTGAGATAGGCCTTGCTGTATAGCCCTAGCTGTCCTGGTACTTTCTTTGTCTGGCCTCAAACTCCTTATAATTCCCCTGCCTCAGCCCCCTGAATGCTGGGATTAAAGGCATAGGCCACCATACCTGGCTTTGTCCTCATTTTGCTCCAGCAACATATTTACATGTGGGATAGGTACTTACCTATGTATAGAAATGACATGTAAGGACCTGGGGTAGGGGGCATGTGACAGCATTTGCCTGTTTTGTTCATCACCACATCTGCAGAGTTGAGAACAGGGGCTGGTCTAGCAGGTACAAAATAGATACTTGCTGAATGCATAGATAGGCATTAGGAGATAAGGACTGGCTCCATCTATCACGTTACAATCATAACATTGAAAAAGTGGCTTAACCTCCATGGTGATCAGGTAACCACTTCTGCAGAGTGGGAACGTTACCTTCCCTACTTTACATAATTGCCACAATGATCATAAGAAGTAAAGTGCTTTGATACTATAAGTTAAAATACAGATTTAAATTCTAACTTAGTAGTAGTAGTAGTAGTAGTAGTATGTGTATGTATGATGGCTTATGTAAGTGCAGATGTGTTTGTGCCACAGCAGGGATATGGAGGTCAGAAGACAACTTTCTAGATTCAGTTCTCTACCTCTACCATGGGCTCTGAGGATCAAACTCAGGCCATTAGGCTTGCATAGAAAGTGCTTTCACTTGCAGAGCCATCATACCAGCCCTACTATAGATGTTTGATAGGTCTGTTCTGCCCATGCACCATCGTCTGCTTGTTAAACCATACCCAGGGTGGAATCATAGAAACTGTCTAACCTATGGTATGAATGGAAGGCCCACAGCTAGCATGGGGTGTGCACCAGGCCCCTTCAACTCATCAGTGGCTGGACATGGACAGAAGATGTGAGAAGAAATGGGCAGAAATAGGAAGCAATTCTACTCCCTTCTCCTAGTGGATGTGTGTACATGGCTCACCTACATGGCAAACTGAGGACATTCAGCAGTTAATCCCAGGCCCTTTGCCACCATCCTTCCTTACTCAATTCAACTCCCAACCACTACCCTCCACCGGAGGAAGCTATTAGCCTACAAACAAAAAGACCACTGGTTTTAGTCAAATAGTGTACCTTTTAAGAACTTAATTTACAGCAGTTTATTGTTAGCCATGAAAACAGATGAGGTTCCAATACATACTACAGTATTATACTACATACCATCCAATACATAGGTGAGCCCTGAAGGCACAGTGCTCAGTGAAAGAAGCCCAACACACAAGACTACAGAGTGAATGGTTCTGTTATAAGAAACATCCAGAATAGGCACAGTCCTAGAGAGGGAAATTAAATTAGTGGCCACTGAGAATGGGGGGGGGCACCAGAACATGGCTAATAAAGGGCTCTTTTATGAGGTGTTAAAAATATTCTGAAACCAGATAGTGGTGATGGGTTCGAAACACTGCAAGTCACTAAAAACCAGTGAATTTTACACTGAGATGGAGAGTTTTAAATCCTTTCACATAATATAATTTAAGCTTTTGTTTGTGGTACTATTGATTTGCAGCTTGGGGACTATGTAATTTTTCTTTATAAGAGTATCATCAATGTGCATCTTTTTATGTTTTTCAGAAAAGGTTTGGATAAAAGTGAGAAAACAAAATCCCTTATTGTGTCTCAAAAAATTGTTCAATTTTATGTCATTGCAAAAAATTTAGGAGATTCGGGGCTGGAGAGATGGCTCAGCTGTTAAGAATACTGGTTGTTCTTGCAGAAGACCCAGGTTCAAATCCCAGCACCAACATGGCAGTTAACAACTGTTGGTAACTCTAGTTCTAGAGGATCTGACTGCCTCTTCTGACCTCCGCGGTCATTGCACGACATGGGCGCACTTACCTACATGCAGGCAGTACACGCATATGCATGAAACAAAAAATAAATAAAATTTTTTAAAAATTAGGAGATACAAAAATAGTAAAATAATCCCAGCACTCGGGAGGTAGAGGCAGGAAGATCTCTGTGAGTTCAAGGCCAGCCTGGTCTGCAAAGTGAGTTCCAGGCCAGCAAGACCCTGTCTAAAAAAAAAAATAGGGCTGGAGAAATAGTTCAACTGGTAAAGACATCTGCCGCTATCGCCAACGGCTTAAGTTCCATCCCCAGGACCCACATGGTAGGAGGAGAG